GAAAGCAACAAAACAATCCCGTTTAAAATCACACCAGAAAGAACAAAATACCCAGACAAAAACTTAACCAAGGAGGCGAAAGACCTATACTCTGAAAACTATGAAACACTAATGAAGGAACCTGAAGAGAATACAAAGAAATGGAAAGATATCCCATGTTCATGGATTAGAATAATTATTATTGTTAAAATGTCCGCATTACCCAAAACAGTCTACAGATTTAATGCAATTCCTATCAAAATACACACTACATTTCTAACAGAAATAGACCAAATAATCCTAAAATTAATATGGAAGCACAAAAGACCCTGAATAGCCAACATAATCTCGAGAAAAAAGAACAAAGCTGGAGGTACCACACTCCCTGACTTCAGACTATACTACAAAGCTACAGTAATCAAAACAGTATAGTACTGGCACAAAAACAGACATGTATATCAATGAAACAGAATAGAGTCCAGAAATGGTCGACTAATCTACAACAGAATAGAGAAGCCATGCATTTATAGTCAATTAATCTACAACAAAGGAGGCAAGAATATACAATGGAAAAAGACAGTCTCTTCAATAAGCAGTGCTGGGAAAGCTGGACAGCTACATGTAAAAGAATTAACTTATTACATTTTTTCACATCATATACATAAACTGAAGATGGCTTAAAAACCTAAATGTAAGACCACAAACCATAAAACTCCTTGAAGAAAACATTTATGTCACTCTCTGACATAAATCATAGCAGTTTTTTTTGTTTCTTTTTTGATCTATCTCCTAAAGCAAAGGAAACAAAAGCAAAAATAACCAAATGGGACTTAATAAACTTACAAGCTTTTGCACAACAAAAGAAACCACTGACAAAGCAAAAAGACAACTTACTGAATGGGAGAAAATATTTGCAAATGATATAACTGATAAGGGGTTAATATCCAAAATGTATAAGCAATTCATGCAACTCAACATCCAAAAAAACAAATAACCCAATTAAAAAATGGGTGGAAGTCCTGAAGAGACTTTTTTTTCCAAAGAAGATATATAGATGGCCAACAAGCACATGAAAAGATGCTCAACATTGCTAATCATCAAAGAAATACAAATCACAACCACAATGAAATACCACCTCACACCTGTCAAAATGGCTACCATCAAAAAATCTACAAATGATAAATGTTGGCAAGGATGTGGAGAAAAGGGAAACCTTGTGCACTGTTGGTGGGAATATAAATTGATGCAGCCACTATGGAGAACATTACGGAGGTTTCTTAAAAAACTAAAAATAAAACTACCCTATGATCTGGCAATTCCACTCCTGAGTATATTATCTAGAAAAAATGAAACCACTAATTTGAAAAGATACATGCACCCCAATGTTCATAGCAGCACTATTTACAATAACTAAGATGTGATGGCAACCCAAGTGTCCATCAACAGATGAATGGATAAGACACACACGCACACGCACACGCACGCACACACACACACACACACACACACACGCACGCAATGGAATATTACTCAGCTATAAAAAAGAATATTTGTCCATTTGCAGCAACATGGATAGACCTGGAAGGTTTTAAGCTTAAATAAGTCAGACAAAGACAAATATTATGTTATCACTTATATATGGAATCTGGAAAATATAACAAATGGATATAACAAAACAAAAAGACTCATAGATATAGAGAATAAACTAGTGGTTACCAGTGGGGAGAGGGAAGGAGGGAGGGGCAAAATAGGGGTAGGGGATTAAGAGATATAAACTACTATATAAAATAAATAATCTACAAGGATATATTATACAGCACAGGGAATACAGCCAACATTTTATAATAACTTTAAATACAGTATAACATATAAAAATATTGAATCACTATGTTGTACATCTGAAACTAATATTGTATATCAACTATACTTCAAAAAGCACAAATAATAAACTGAAAATCTGAAGAGTTATGCTCTCAGGGTAGTAATGACTCAGAACTAAACCTGCCCCCTCCATCCTGCTCCAAATCTCAGGGAACCGTAGAGAAGACTGACTTGGTGCTAAGAGAAGCAAAATCAAAATGCAACCAAGTTCCTGAGAAGTCAGAGCTACAGATCTGCCCTTTCACTGATTTGAGACCCAGGGATGTGTAAGCTGGTTGGGCAGAGAACTCCAAGCAGTGAATTTGGAATGATGGGGGCCCCTTCACCCTAGGCTTCCAAGAATCCCCACATATAAGTTTTTGAAGCCAGTGATCACCATACATTTAAAGATGACCAAGAACACATGAAAACAAGCCACGAGCAGACACGTGTGGGCTTTGTGTCCTGGAATTGGGGGCACTGTGGCCAACCCCGGCTGGTTGGTCCCATGCACTTGGCTACTTCATTCCTGAGTCCTTCAGAGTCAGGCGTGGCCAAATGACTGAAGTCTGGGCCAAAGAATGTAGGTGATAACAACTGTGCAACTTCTGCGCCTCACCCATAAAAACCCTATCTGAACCTCCATGCTCTTCTCATTCCTGGATGCCTGGCCTAGACCCAAACTCTAGGGGAATCTTAGGAACCATGGGTTGATGATGAGAAGGCACCAGAATGAAGGGACCTCGGTACCCATTTCACCACCTGGAGGAAAGCTGCCCAATGGAGAAACACCTACAGTGCACTACTCTGTGGTTAGTAAATAAACCTGCATTAGTTTAAGCCATGAAATTTTAAGGTTTGTTTGATAAGCAGCTAGTGTTACTATAACTAATACAGACATGGGTTATAAAACAACTGAGCTTATTAGGTTTGAAGAAATCAAAGGTAAGCTTGAAAAAGCACAGAACAGGAAGCTAAAGTGTTAACAAATGTTTAAAAGCACAAACAATACAACATACAAAAATCAAAAGATGGAAAATAGTGGAGAGATTAAAACATGTGGAGAAAACAATGAGATCTCAGATGTTCCTTTACTATCCTTTCAACTGTCATGGGATCTGCAGTGATGTCCCTTTATTTCTGGTACTAGCAATTTGTGTCTTCTCTTTTTTTCCTTAGCCTTGCTAGGGGCCTGTTGACTTTACTGATCTCTTCAAAAACCAGTTTTTGGTTTACTTGATTTCCTCTATTGATTTCCTGTTTTCAATTTCATTGATTTCTGCTCTAGTTTTTATTACTTCTTTTCTTGTGCTTGCTTTGGGTTGAATTTGCGCTTTTTCTAGTTTCCTAAGGTGGAAGCTTAGTTTATTGATTTTAGATGTTTCTTCTTTTCTCATATACGCATTCAATGCTATAAATATCCCTCTGAGCACTGCTTCTGCTGCATCCCACAAATTTTGCTAAGTTGTAATTTCATTTTTTTTTTAACATCTTTATTGGGGTATAATTGCTTTACAATGGTGTGTTAGTTTCTGCTTTACAACAGTGAATCAGTTACACATATACATATGTTCCCATATCTCTTCCCTCTTTGTCTCCCTCCCTCCCACCCTCCCTATCCCACCCCTCCAGACAGCCACAAAGAACCGAGCCGGTTTCCCTGTGCCATGCGGCTGCTTCCCACTGGCTATCTACCTTACGTTTGTTAGTATATATATGTCCATGTCTCTCTCTCGCCCTAACACACCTCACCCTTCCCCCTCCCCATATCCTCAAGTCTGTTCTCCAGTAGGTCTCTGTCTTTATTCCTGTTTTACCCCTAGGTTCTTCATAACATTTTTTTTTTCTTAAATTCCATATATATGTGTTAGCATACGGTATTTGTCCTTCTCTTTCTGACTTACTTCACTCTGTATGACAGACTCTAGATCTATCCACCTCATTACAAATAGCTCAATTTCGTTTCTTTTTATGGCTGAGTAATATTCCATTGTATATATGTGCCACATCTTCTTTATCCATTCATCCGACGATGGGCACTTAGGTTGTTTCCATCTCCGGGCTATTGTAAATAGAGCTGCAATGAACATTTTGGTACATGACTCTTTCTGAATTCTGGTTTCCTCAGGGTATATACCTAGTAGTGGGATTGCTGGGTCATATGGTAGTTCTATTTGTAGTTTTTTAAGGAACCTCCATACTGTTCTCCATAGTGGCTGAACCAATTCACATTCCCACCAGCAGTGCAAGAGTGTTCCCTTTTCTCCACACCCTCTCCAGCATTTATTGTTTCTAGATTTTTTGATGATGGCCATTCTGACTGGTGTGAGATGATATCTCATTGTAGTTTTGATCTGCATTTCTCTAATGATTAATGATGTTGAGCATTCTTTCATGTGTTTGTTGGCAGTCTGTATAACTTCTTTGGAGAAATGTCTATTTAGGTCTTCTGCCCATTTTTGGATTGGGTTGTTTATTTTTTTGTTATTGAGCTGCATGAGCTGCCTGATCTCTCTCATTTTCATTTAGTTAATTCGGACTGGTGTAACATCTCTTTGGTCCCCTGAGGACCAGCCCAGAGCTCAACTCCCCCGATGTTACCACTGGCGACTCTACGTGCCTGGTGAGTTGAAATGGTGAGCTCTGAACTGTTACAAAGTCCAGCTGATCCTGGGGGTTCAGAGACTGAAAACCTGGCTTGGTTAGACCTGGGGTCACTATCGTTAGGGGCCAGGGACCAAGGCCAGACACTCTCCAGCCTCAGCTGTTTGCTCTCTGACCTTTGGTGTCCCTGGGGCATGGTGGGATCCAAGCAGAGGAACCACCCCTCCATGACAAGGAAGCACGTGGCCACTGTGCAGAGGGTCCCTCCCCAGACATTTCTCCAAGTCCCCACCAGGCCTGGGGTCTAGCCCTGGGCAGTCTTAGAACACTGTGCTGGCCCAGTGGCACCGTCAAATCACACTTGAGTAGAAAATAAGCCACTTCTTCGGCAATACATCAACACGTGGGGCTCTTTGAGCGTGCTGGGCTCACCTGGTCCTGGCTTCCCTGGAGGGTTCCTTGTGCAGCCAGGCCAGACTAGAGCCCTCAGGATGGCAGGGTCCAAGGAAGGGGCATGGGGCAGCAGCAGGGGCCTGGGGAGGATGCCACTAGGCTGGTCAGTAGCAGTCGGCCCCACTCTCCCCGAGGGCGCCCACAGCAGCCAGCATGTCCTGCAAGAGTGACTGGGGGCTCTTCTCCACGTGGTCACTGCTCTCGGCCAGCGTGTCCCGAAGGCCCTCCAGGTCTATAGACCTCAGCAGGGCTACGACGGCCGCGGGCTCCAGGAGCCCCAGGGGCTGACCCTGCTCACCTGCCTGCCACTTCTGCAGGGTGGCCCCCACAGAGGCCACGTTGGGACCGTCCCCCGCCTCCCGCGGGCTGCCACAGGGAGCAGCCTTGGCCCTCAGGAACAGGAGAAGATCACAGGACTTCTGGGCCACGGGCCGGTCACAGTCAAACAAGGCGCGGAGGGCAAACTCAAAGAGCTGCACGCGGCCAAGCACCTGCAGGGCGTGGGCCAGCAGGCCAGGCGGGGCTGCCTCGGGCGGGGCCACGGCACAGGGACAGTGGGAGCCGCGCTGACCCAGCAACTGCTCCAGGAACACCAGCGCCAGCTCGAGGCCCTGGGCCCGCACCTCCCAGTCCAAGTCCCTGCTCACCGCCTGGAGCACTCCAGCCACAAACCGCTCCGCGTCTTCAGCTACATCAGTATGGCCATCCCTCAGCCACTCAGTGAAGACCTGCATGACGGCCCTCCGGGGGAAGCCCTCCGAGTCTGTGGAGAGGATGTGCAGAAGCTCCGCGAGCAGGCTCTTCTGGAGGACAGAGTGGGAAGGAGGCGGAGGGATCAGGGAAGTCGAGGTCCCGCTGACGGGCTCGGGGTGCAGCAGGGAGAACCCCCATGAGGACCCCCTGCCATGCTCGGCTTCCTTCAGGCGATGTGCCCTTCAGCCCCCCCATCTGCCCACCGTCAAACAGGGGTGGCCGTGCCCAAGTGACAGGGCTTCCAGGAAGCGGAGCCGGAGATTCAGGGGACACGCCCGACCCCGAATGCCACCCCTGGGCGGCAGACCCACTCCATCCTGGCATCAGGACAGCCGCCAGGTGGGCGCACGGCCACAGGACCCACTGCCTCCTACCTGCTGAGCCCCTGGGCGCTCAGGGCTGGCAGGGGTGGCACACAGCCCCCAGCTAGACAACTGCCCTGTGGCGGTCACTGCGCTTGCGCGGACGTAACTCTCAGGGTCTCGCAGAAGCTGCTTGGTGAGCTCGGGCACCTCTGAAGCAAGGAGCGCTTGTCTGAAGCCGGCCTGCCCTGGGGGTCCAAGCAGCCACAACCAGCTATGACCGAAAGCTGATTCCACAGCCTCTCCTCTCTCCCCAAAGGCAGCCTAGGTAGTCCGAGTTCCCAACTACCTGGGGACAACGGTGTGCCAAGGCCAGGCCAGCCCTCCCACAGGGACCCCAGCCCCAGGCGCCGCACCCGGCACTCACCTCCCCAGTGTCTGGTCATTTGGGTCAGGAACTCGAGGCCTGAGTCCCTCACCTCCCAGCAGGGGCTGCACAGGCGCTTCTGTAGCACAGGAAGCAGCTCTGGGGCAGGAGGAACGGTTCAGAGGGCCCGGGCCACATCCACCCTGCCTCCCACCCAGCCCCCAGTCGCCTCCCTCCCTGCTCCCCCCTCAGTTCACCCCTGGGAGGGGCTGGGATCACCTCTGAGGAACAGCTGGGTGTGGGGGTCCAGGTCGCAGCAGCCGGGGGTCTTGGGTGAGCGCAGAAGCCACCCGAGTGTGGCCTGGAACGCCTTCTTCAGAACCTGGAGCGGGAGGAGTGGGGCTGCAGGGCCAGGAGGGGTGAGCTGGCCCGTTGGCCCCCGCCCCACCCCGGGGTGTAAGATGGGGACGGGGTACATGGGGACAGGGAACACCAGACTTCATTTTTACGAGGCAGAAGCCTCTGGAAGCAGCCGACTGGCATCCAAGACTAGAGAGAGAGAAGAGGGGGCAGCTCTTGTCAGGAAGCCCCACTACCGGGGAAATCAAACTTCTGCACCAAAACAGGAGAATCTACCCACAGCACCTTTTCCTGAAAGCCCCGGAATCTGCCAGGCTTCCCATCCAATCTCCCCACTGCCTGCTCAGTACACATACTATTCCTGCACCCCCAGAGCATGACTCAACCCTGGGGCTACGAGAACGGGGAGATTTGCAGGAAACCTCAGAGTTGGGACCCCAAGCTTAAGGCCCACCTGGTTCTAGTTTCCATCTCTCATGGAGAATTCCCTGTAAGACTGGATCCTCTCCCTGCTTTCCACAGCCCAGCGACCCCTCACTCAATCTCCACCAATGCCAGGCCCTGGGCCGAACCCTGTGCAGCTGCCTGCCCCTTGAAACTCACTTTAAGAAGCAATTCTGGGGACTTCCCTGGTGGCGCAGTGGTTAAGAATTCGCCTGCCAATGCAGGGGGCACGGGTTCGAGCCCTGGTCCAGGAAGATCCCACATGCCGCGGAGCAACTAAGCCCGTGCGTCACAGCTATTGAGCCTGCACTCTAGAACGTGCGAGCCACAACCACTGAGCCTGCGAGCCACAACTGCTGAGGCCCAATGCACCTAGAACCTGTGCTCCGCAACGAGAAGCCACTGCAATGAAAAGCCTGTGCACCGCAACGAAGAGTAGCCCCTGCTCGCCACAACTAGAGAAAGCCCGCATGCAGCAGCAGCCAAAAATTTAAAATTAATTATTTTTTAAAAAGAGGCAATTCTGGCCCCGGAGAGCCCTGCAGGGGTGCCCTGCCTCTGCCTTCCTCCCCCTCTCCTTCCCTCCACCCTGCACCCTGTGCGTGTACCATGGAGCTGGACTCGGGGCTCACGAGGTACTCCAGGAGGACGGAAAACACCTGCGTCACCAACTCTTGAGGGCCTGAGACAGACGTGGATGGCTGAAGCACCCAACCTCCTACCCTGGGGCCTCCCCAGCCCACAAGTGTGGCAACCCACGGAACACGGGGGACAGAACCCATCAGGCAGCCGAATCCCAGCCCCTGCCCCAGAGGAGACATGCAGAGGACAGCAGTCTTGGGACACCTCTGAGCAGCTGTGGGGCTCGCCCAACACCCAAGCTGTGCAAGAGAAAACATTCTCACTTACCAGTCCCCTGAGACAGCGCCCCCAGGAAATCCAGGGCAGCTCGCTGGACCCGGCCACAGCCCACCAGGATCGCACAGAGGCGGCCGCCCACATCAGAGGTGGGGGCCGCTGAGCCACTGCAGAGCCGCAGTATTGTCACCGCAGCCCCAAGCAGGGGCACCTGCGGCCAGGGCGAGGGGCGCTGGGGCTGGGGGAGGACGGAAGGTCAATGCAGGCCACAAGTCCCAGTGCCAGTGTGGACCCGGGCCGGGCCGTACCTACCAGCGGCTGCAGCAGCCCCAGGTGGGCCAGAGCGCAGCACAGGAGCCCCACACAGGCCGGCCTGGAGGAGAGGAGCGTGCCCACCGCCACCGAGTCGCCCGCGGCCGCCCCCAGCAGACCTAGAGGCGACCAGAAACAGCTCCCAGTTAGCGGGCGCCTCCTGTGCGGCCACTGCAGGCCTTGCTGCTGGTCACTGCTTCACACCAGAGACCAGGCCTGGAGATCCCGAGCAGCTGGCCCGTCTAGGGTGGCGTCCAGCGGCCGGAGCTGAGGCCGGAACCTGTCTGCAGGGCCCTCGAGCAGTCCCACTCTCCCTGCAGTCCACGCCTGGGCCCACTTCCGCTGGTCAGAGGCCCCTCCCTACGTTCAACGTGGGGCTCCAAGGCACAGCTGGCCCCCTTCTCTAATCCTCACCCCATCGTGCGGCTGAAGCAAGACAAGTCGCAGCGAGGAAACTCACTCTCCCATCACAGAACTGACCTGGGAGGACGACTGCCAAGCCCATGTGCCCGCTCTGGGTCAGGAACCATCCACGTGGCCCAGGCCCCCGGTAACCACCACCAACTGCCAGGGTCTGCTGCTCTGGGGGCCACTCCAGCTGATGCCCACAGAGGGCAACGCTGCCCTATGAACTCCCAGGCGGGGACGTGAGCAGCGGTCACACCTGGGACGGCAGCCTACACCGCAGCCACCTTCACTCTTAGGTGGGGTGGCAAGCCAAGTGCCCCGCTGCCCATCAGCCCACCCTGGCCCCAAGGACATTCTCAGGACCCCAGGGTCCTGCCTTCCTGCACCTGCCCACTGTTCCCAAGCAGCCTACCGAGGGCTCCAGGGGCCTGAGCAGCAGCTTCCAGGACACAGGCCAGCGGCTGGAGGAGGATGCCAAAGGCCTGGGTCCTCAGTGCCTGTGGACTGAGGACAGAGGACACGGTGAGGGCTGCCCCCGCCCTCAGGCAAGCTGGCTACCCTCCTAATATCCCCAGCAAGTCTGGGCCAAAGGGGTCAGTGCTGGGGATCTGGACACCCCCTTGAGAAACAGCCTCCCTGTAAGCACTGTGACCAGCACTCACACCACTGGCATGGGACTCGAAGGAGCTGCTGAAGCGCCACCCAGGCCCCAGGAAGAGCCTGGGGAGGGCCTGGCCACACCCACTCCGATGGGCAGTGCCTGCTCAGGGCCAAAGGGATGGGATGCCCCACCTCCTGGAAGCACTCCCAATGCTGAGATATCCTTTCCTACATTCCATTCCGGAACATGGCCTGGCCGACGTGCTTGGGCCCAGGGTGGTTGGGAGGCCAAGCTGGTACAGAGCTCTCCCTCCAAGCCAGCTGCCCAATCCTTCCCTCTCCCTTCGGCCCACTCCCTCTCTCTGAACATCCAGAGACCCTGGAGCCCAGAGCCAGGCTTGCATCGTATCCCCAGCGCCCTGTGCCCACTTTCACCCCAGACCTGGGCCAACAAGACCGGCTCTAGTCCACCCGAAACCCTGGAATGATTTCTCTTCCTTCCCAGCTCTCCGGACCCCACACCCTCTTCCTGGTAGGGCACACATCTCTCTCCCTCTGGGAATCTGTCCTGTCACTCCTGTCTACTGGGTCCCCCTCCACCATCCCACAGCCCCTAGTACCCCCCCACCCAGTGGCATGCACACGGGGCGGCCCAGGATCCACAGGGTGAGGTCACTGGGGAGGTGGCAGAAGGTAGCTGAGCAGGTCCTGAGTATGAACCCAGACCTGCTCTGAGCAAGGCTGCTCCAAGAGTCTCTTTTATCTTTGGGGAGCCTGTGAAAAAGCTATTCCACCACTAAAAAATGTAGAAGCCGGAGCCTGTGCCAACACCTTGGTGATAACCCACGGACTGCCCGGCCACACCCCGGCCAGCCACCTCTGACTGATCTCTGGTTTCAGGAGCTCCCCTGAAGTTCCCTGACCTCTCTGCCCACCTCACACAACATGAACCCCAATCCTTACCAGTCCTGCAGTTTCAGGATCCCGAAAGCCAGAGGCCCTGCCTGTGTGGGGCTCAAGTGGCTCAGAGTCTGGGCCAAAGTCTCCCACAGGCCACGGTCAGAGCTCGGCGCAGAACTGCAGAGGAGGAGCCCAGAAAGAGAATGTCATTCCCCCGTCCAGCCCACACCGTGCCCAGGGGGCCGCCGTGGCCTGGGCTGGGTGTGCTGGCTGAGACGGAAGGCCCTTCCCAGGTGTGCGGGCTTCCAGACCACCTCTGGTGTCCCCTCTACTCGAGGCAGCGTTCTCGGGCAGCCAGGGAGACGTGGCCCAGGTGTGATGGCTGCCCCAAGACTTCCCGAAGAAAACGAGCTCCCCCTCCTGCCCACCCCACCAGCTGTGCCCCGGGGACCTGACCGGGCCACGCTGAGAAGGAAATCCACGAGCGAGTGTGAGGCTGGGACAGGGTCTTTCTCGAGCAGGCGGGCCACGAAGGGGCTCAGCCGCACCCAAAGGCCTTGCGTCCAAAGGCCGTGGCAGTGCCCGAACACGGTGGTCAGGACACTCAGGGCCTGTGTGACCTGTGGGATGGCTGTGGAGCACAGGGAGTCTTCGATGTGACCCACGATCTTCTGGGCACATGCTGGCCAGTCACAAGCCTGCGGACTGCGGTGGCCCTCGGCTGGGCCCCGCATCGCCAAGTCCAGAATGTGCACCAGGAGCTGCCCGGCTGCCGAGGCCACAAACAGGCTGGGATCTCCCTGCAGGGAGAAGATGGTGTCAACTGCACCTGGGGGGCGGGGAGGGACAACGGGTGGGGAGAGAAACAGGGTTCAGCTGGAACAGAGTCCATGGTGACAGCAGAGACGCTGAAACCACTGAGCAGCTTCAACCACTGGACTTCAGACCCTCACGGACAGAACTCAGAAACCACCCAATGCGGAGGCACTGTCAGAGGCCCGGCCTCCCCGCTACTCAGAGGCAAAGGAATCAGAGCAGAGGGTTCACAGGGCGAGGGGCTTTAGAACCCTGGCCACTTGGGATTCTTCTCATCAGTTTCAAAGCCACCCCAACTGCTGGGTCTCACCTACAAGCCACAGGACACCGTACACCCTTGAGGGGCCTCCAACCCTTGGTTACCCCGAATGTTCCTCACAACAGCCCTACGATACCACAGCCACTTTCATGTTCAGAGGAAGAGACCCAGCAAGGTGCGGTGATTTCCCAGGAGTCGCACAGCATCAGGCACGGCAAGGGCAGAGACGGAAGGCAGGGCAGACGGGGGCACTCACCACAGGCAGCAAGGAAGCGCAGGGCACTAGGATGCTGTGCCAGGGTGTGCAGGCCCTGGATCCAGCCGCTGCGCACAGTGGGGGCCGTCCAGGACGTTCCTCCGAGGGGGCCCACCTCCCCAAAGAGCATGGGCAGCAGCTCCCCCTGCTGGGAAGCAGAGAAGGAAGTGGGGACCTGAGCAAGTTCCCAGGGGGCCACACATCAGAGATGGCTTTTCTAACGTTCACAGCTGGTCGAGGCACTTCTTTGGGGGAATTTCTCGTGAGCTGCCGACACAAAGAGCCTGTGAGAGGTGGCAGGTGGCCACCAGAGCCAGCCGATGGCGGCCACAGCACTGCCAACTGTGCCTTCCAGGGGAGAGAACTTTGGAAGGGAGAACTGGATTTTACATAAAGCCTCATCAACCCTGTCACAGTTCACTTCAGAAACACTTCCCCCAAACAGCCCACCAACTGCAACGCCAACAGTCCCCCTCTGACCATGACACGCTGCGCTCAAGGACCCCCAAAGGTCTCCACAGCCTACTGCGCTCTTGTGCTTGGCACTCGGGGCCCTCCAGGGCAGCTGCCCTCCTCCAGGTGTCCCCTACCCTGGATCCCCCAGCACGCCCCGTGAGTCAGGCCTACCCTCCCCATACACCTGCTCAAACCCCTTACAACCCGGCTGCAAGATCACTGCCCCTACGAAGCTGACAACCCCACCCTGTCAGCAGGCAGTGGCTAACTCCCCGCTCAATCCCCACCTGCTCGTGGACGTCCACAGGACAATAACACACTGTCCTGATCTGCTGCCACGTGCACAGGGTTCTTGTTCACTACAGGGTGCCAATGAGTGGGAAACTCGGGGGCTGCCTCTTACCAATGGAGCCCCTCACCGGTGAAGCTACTAGCTCTGAGCCTTGTCTATCTTGACAATAAAATGCTGGTCCCCACCCTCAAGTCATCTCAGACTCCAGGGTAAAGGACCACAGGGCCTCGGAGACACACTTCCACTCAAGGATGACTCTAACTCTGCAGTGGCCTCGAGGCCTTGAGGGGTGTTGCTGGAGGCGGCAGCTCACAGAGCAGGTCCTCTGTGGGATCTCGCGTCACCGAAATGCACCCCCAGAGCTACAGCCTCTCCCTGGGGGCAGCTCGTAGCCAAGGGGAAGGTACAAAGGCTCAGCCCCCTGCCTCAAGTAGTTTGTCCACATGTCCCCTGCCCAGACACCATCTACTGATGAGCATCTGGCTGCTGAAGGGCCCTTAGGGCTGCCAGACCCCCTGGGAGTCTGTGAAGGGCCAGGTGAAAAGGGAACAGGAGCCCAAGCCAGTGCCACGGGCCCAGGACAGAAAGCAACCTTCCACTGCGACTCAGAGCCCGAACCTGCCCGTGTCCCTCGTCCCCACGTACAGGGGGCCAACCACCAGATTGAAGGGCAGTCAGTGGCCTTCTAAGCCTCTAAAGCCATGGTCAACCTTGGGAAGGAAGAGGAGGCCATGGAGAAGCAGAGACGGGAACAGGGAGGTACTCAGGAAATGAATGAAGTTGGGGAAGAGGCCATCTGACTGGGACTGAGGATTTACTTTCAGAGAAACAGGTGGTGTAACCGAGCATTCGAGCAGTACGACTCTTCAGAGTCTAGTGTGAGCTCTGCCAGTTCTGTGGGACTCACAGTGAGCCTTCACTGTCTCCTAATCCAGGAGAAAGATGAAGACTCCTGACCTGCTCACTGGCCAGGGCGCCCAGGATAACATGAATGTGATTTTGTAAACTGAGGTGTTCTACCAACTGCAAAGCACCAGAGGTGTGGGTGGATTATCACACATGAAGTCATTTCCTAAAACACACTTCAGTGTGCAACATCCTGGGAAGCCTGTCCCACAGCGAGCTGGCGCCTGCACTGCTGAACTGAGGAACACCCAGGAAGGGCAGCGCCAGGGCAGAGAGCCAGCCCCCACTCTGCCGTATTTTAAAATGTTCACCGTTCACCCCAACATCATTCCTGGTGAGTTCTTCAAAGGAGAATTATACTCAGGAATAAAAACCCTGCGGTACACGTCAAGACACAGGGGCAAAACAAGCTTCGGAGACTCAGGGGTCATGACAGCCACCACTGCTTTGTGTACCTGCAGGAGAAGGTGGGTCACTCAGGTGGGAGGACCCAGGCTCACCTGAAGATACTGGAAGCAGTTTTCCTGGGCTGCAAATATTCCTGCGAGGCGGAGTGAGAAGGAGAGGATTCTGGAACTTAGGTCCTGGGATTTCAGCACGTGGAACAGCAGCTCTACCAGGCAGGGATTTTCCTGTAGTAACAGGAGACTGGACCCTGGAGACAGGCCCAGCCGGGAAGCATGTTACCAGGGGCACAGCGCATGCCTCCCTAAGGGACCATTCTTCTGGCAACCCCCAGACTCCCTTTCTCTCAGGCTATTAGACTCAGCGGTCCAACCGGGAGGAAATAGTTGCAACAACTGCCACGAAGGATCCATAACTTTAATTCAATGAGGGGGGAAAAGAACAGAAAGCCAATACCTTAACAACAGGCAAGGGACTTGGACAGAATATACAAATGGCCAGCAAACCACGAAAGATATTCTGTCTTTTGCTGATTACGAAAAAGAAATGCAAATTAAAGCAGAACACACTTTTCCCCTCTCCAATGGATACTTTTCTCTTAAACTGAGAATACGAAAGCGAAAGCAAGAAGCACAATGCAACAGGCATTCTTTTCCAGTGGCATCTAAAACGTCTACAGGCAACTGCTCTGTCATTCCAAAGCACTGACGGGGTGGGGGAGGGGAAGGGGGAGGAAACCTGGGGCAACCCTGGGAGGGCTTCCACTGCGAGGTCCTTGTGAAGGGACAATGAGGCAAAGTAAGGAGGGAAAAACAGGGTGAAGGAGAGAGAAGCAAGAATCAAAGAAACCAAAAACGTGGGCAAACCTAAAAAAGCACTGACTTGAAAAATTAAGTAACTTTCGAAGGAGTTTAAAACAAGACAGAATCAAAATACCAGACAACAAAACACAGAAGACTGGACTGAGCTGGAGTTAAAGTGCCTGATGCTCCATGTGTGGTTGGCGCAGAAGACAGAGATTCTAACTGACTTTCAACTTTTACAATCCAGTTTGCACGTAAGAGTAACCCCTAAAAACGTAAGTGGAATGCTTCAAACCTTCACTTCAAAACCAGAAAGACTAAAAAAACAAAAGCTTTATTAATCCAACGGGGGGGGGGGCAGAAAAGGAGGTAAAAGTCGCAACACAAAGCATGGAAAAAATGTTTTAAATGCAAAAGAATATAATAAAAATAGGTTCAAATATAACAGTAAACTCAACAAATGAAACAAATTAAACTGTCCATTAGAATAAAGAGCTGTGCAGACTAGATCAGGAACCACAGGCTAGCATCACACTGTGTGTAAGAAACAATGAAGCGTGACAACACAGAAGGCCAGATTTGTAAAGGCTGAAAAGATACAGTTGGCAAATCCTAATTTTTAAAAAGCTGCTGCAGAAAGAGTAATATCAAACGAAACTGACTTTAAAGCAAAAAGCTCTGTCAGAGCTTTAGAAAGAAAGTCATTGCTCACACAGCCAAACCCTGGAAGATATAACCGTCTAAGACTGTACACACCTAACCTAACTTCAAAATATACAAAGGGGGAAAAAAGACAGAATTTCAAACAGAAATTGTTGAATCTACCATCTTAGTTTAAGATTTTCACATATCTCTCAAAAACAATTAAGCAAATAAATTAGCAAGAACATCACAGGTTTTAACAATGTAAACTTGAACTAAGGAACAAGTATGGAGACTATATTCTTTTCATCATGTACAACACTGAGGAAAATACATACAGGCTGGGGGAGGAGGGAATAGAGGTTAACTGTTAATGGATACCAGGTTTCTTCTAAGGGGATGAAAATGTTGCAAAATTAACCCTTGGATGGTGGCAAAACTGTGTGAATTTACTAAAAACCACTGAACTACACACTTGAAATAGATCAATTTCATGGTATGTAAATCATATCTCAAATAAAGCTATTTAAAAATAATTTTTAATAGTTACCATATGATCCAGCAATCCCATTCCTAGGCATATATCTGGAGAAAATCATAATTCAAAAAGATACGTGCACCCCAAAATTCATCGCAGCACTATTTACAACAGCCAAGACATGGAAGCAACCTAAGTGTCCAGCGACAGATATGGATAAAGATGTGGTGTGTGTGTGTGTGTGTGTGTGTGTGTGTGTGTGTGTGTAGAATGGACTACTACTCAGCCATAAAAAAGAATGAAATCATGCCATTTGCAGCAACATGGATGGACCTAGAGGTTATCATACTAAGTGAAGTAAGTCAGACAGAGAAAGACAGATATCATATGATATCACTTCTACGTGGAATCTAAAAAAAAATGATACAAATTAACTTATTTACAAAATAGAAACAGACTCACAGACATAGAAAACAAACTTATGGTTACTAAAGGGGGAGGGGGGTATAAATTAGGAGTCTGGGATTAGCAGATACAAACTACTATATATAAAATAAACAGCAAGGTTCTACTGTATAGCACAGGGAGCTAGAGTCAATATCTTGTAATAAACTATAATGGAAAAGACTCTGAAAAAGTGTGTGTGTGTATATATATACAAAAAAAACAAATCGCTTTGCTGTCCACCAGAAACTAACACAACACTGTAAATCAGCTATACTTCAATTAGAAAGATTTTTTTTTAATTTAACTACTAGACTACAATTGACTCTATAAATACCAAAAAATAACATCCTATAGAGAAATCTATAGAATATGTGCAAAAATGGTCTGTGTACTACGCCATGATAAAAGCCTCAACAGATATAAAAGAATCAAAATACAAATACTTTCTAACTCCAACGAAATAAATTAGAAATCAGTAATAAAAAGACTGAAAAAAAAACCCATGTCATGAATCTAAAGATACCCTTTTAAATAGTGATAATTCGTGGATGAAGAAATATTATAATGAAAAGTATGAAATATTTGGAAGTAAATCACAACAAAAGCACCGCATAGTAAGACGTGCAAGGTGCAGCTAAAGTGATACCTTCAGAGACATGTGTAGCCTTAAATGCATCTATTAGAAAACAAGACAGACCTAGATATTCAACTCAAAAGAGGATAAAAGAACAGGGTAAACCAAAGAAACAAACAGCAGAAATTTATGACACGTAATCCACACTAAAACAATTACCAGCCAAACATTTACATGAGCAGATTTACGTACAAAGAAAGCCATTATGTCATTATTCATAATAATGACACATTAGAAACACAGACATCTAACAACAGGGGACTAACTGTAAAATTAACGTCCATTCACAGGGCAAACTGACATAGTCAATAAAATCAACGTGTCAGTGGGGAAAACACCCACTAGGACAGTAAGAGAGAAAACGCAAGACATGTTGTATTTACAGCGTGACCTCATTTTTATAAGAAAAGTACAGAATTATGATGTGTTAAGAAAAAAGGCTGGAAGGAAAAAAATGTTTGGAGTGGTTTAATCTTCCTCTTTACTCCTCTCTGCTGTTCAAGTTTTATTTAAACAACAAGGTAAGTTTGTCCCGTGGCCTCGGCAGCCACCTAGCGTGGCCTGAGTAACGGGCGGCCTGCAGCTCAAGCTCTCCTGATCATCCCCTTAGGTTCAGCTTGCCGTATTCCCAAAGCCAGAGGGAATCTTTAAGGTATGAAGGTAGGACACCGGATAGACAGTTCTTCCCGAGGACAGGGGAGCCCGGCACCCTCTGGCCTCCGGGGAAAGTCAACAGCAGCACCCTCACCCTTACCTGCTTCGGTTACTGCTGTAAACCAGTCCAGCAGCTTCTCCAAACAAGTGTCATCTGCCACAGGCTGCCTGGGGTCAGCCAGGACGGCACAGAGCGCAGGGAGGAGCCGGGAGCACTCTGGGTCCATGACGAGGCTGGGGCTCCTGCAAAGGCACTGTCAGGCCCAGACCCCGCCTGCCCCAGCCGCAGGCAGTCCCCATGCCCGCCCAGGCCCCAGAACTCTCACCTCAGGCCAGGTGACCACAATCTTCAGACGGAAACTCCAAGTTGCCGGGATGGATGTAAAGCCTCAGCTCAGGTGGGACCGGAGATTGTCAAGAGCAAGCAGAGCCCTCAATTCTGGCGGTGGAGATGGAAGGGAAGCTAAAGTACAGCATGAGGCCTGAGCAGCTCAAAGTCGGCCAACCTAGGACTCTGGTGGGAGGGGAGAACGAAGGGAGCATGAAGCTGAGCGAGGCTGCAGGCGGGCCAGAGCGAGGGGCCTGTGCGCGCTCTGGGGCCGGCCACGTGTAGGAGGCAGGGCGTCTCAGGCCGAGTTCTAAGTGGCTCAGTCCAGACTGGAGGTGTGTGTCTGTCCCTCCCAGGGTCAGTGTGAAAACCCTGCAGCAGCAGTGTGCCGGAGGGCGGGGGGGCGGGGCGGGGCGG